CGGAGCGTCAACTGATGGCCACTGCCATTAAGAGACAACAATCCAGAAGAAGATTAGCCGCCATTACATTCTTGTCGAACATATCGCTCGACGGCACACATCGGGACACGAAAATTGGTTTAGTATTTAAAGTAGTAAATGGTAACCATCATAACCATCATCACCACAACCACGACCACTACCACAGTAATGGTGTCAGCGATCAGGACGATGACGACCAGGAGAATACCGGTGCCATCAATGGACTGGCCGTTCACGGCGCCAACCGATTGCACTCACGTATGCATAAATAATTAGCATGATTAGTTAAATTTGACTTATTAATAACCGTATTTTTATATTAAAATGATCTATATTTAGGCTCAAATACACTGAATTCAAATACCAAGTCATTTGATGCCAACAGCAATCGTATCAGTCCTAAGGACAGGGATCGAGGGGACAGGTATTTAAATGAATTTATAATTATTGTTGTTTTTGTTTTGTGCAATTATAATTTAAAATCTAGCATTGAATTTAAAATTAAAGTATACGTATAAAATATTATCATAATTATAAATTAAATATAATTTAATTCATAAAAAGTAGGTATAAATGACTTTCGGCTCTAAAAATGTTTTACCATTTAATGGCATAATTGCTTTGATCGTAGCGTTTGATAACATGTTAAGTTTAATTAACATTAAGGCTAATCTCTAGTTTCTTAACTATTGTCTCGTAATATAAATTTAATACCACTTTGAGCTGTAAATTGTATGCTTTTGTGTCTATCATTTTCAAGTCATATAAAATTAATGCCATTTCTCTATCTTTTTCCTATCAATCGTCTCATATCTAATAGTGTTGTAAATGATGTTGACTTTGGATACGATATATACCTCTCCAAACAGTCTCACAAATACAACTGTCCTATCATTTTACTGATTAATATACATATATATTTTGTTGTAAATAACTTTCATATATGTTTTGTTATCTATAATTATTTTTATCTTAGAGAATATTATAATAACGTTTAATTACAATTTATAAAGAGATTAAATACACTCATAAAGTTTTGCGTAAGACTTTTATTGTATATGTTTTTTAATCCCAAACCTAACATACCTTTCCCTTTACTCTGTCTTATATGCCTTACAATTCCCGACCATTTAGTTGTGTAATGAATATGATATGTATGGTTGTGTTATCGAACCCATACTCTTGTAAGTTAATCTCATTTGAAAAGTATTTTTTTAAATTTATTTTTGTTAAATAATTTTGTTTATTATTTCTAAAATGGTTTCTGTTTAATATGATTCTTAAGGCAATCAATTTAAACAATTTTTAATTTTATTTTTTGCCAATTTATCACTTTTCTATGAATGAAATATTATAAATATTTATATGTCGAGTAAATGATAAACATTATTAGTTTTGTTGAATTGGAATACATTTGCTGCCAAACTATACCAATAATATATTTTACACTTTGTATACAATCTCATTGAAACTTTCATTTCATTGTATAAACTTGTGATAAAATACTCCATGTATTACATAACATGGTATAAGTGATTAGCTTTATTTATAAATAACAATAAACTATAAATATTTCTCCCATCTCTCTCTCTCTCTCTCTCTCTCTCTCTCTCTGCCATAAACATAACAATAAATTAATTTAATTCTGACATATCTGTGTAAATCATTTAATTGTAATTAATTCGCACGTATTTTCTATTGGAAAAT